TCGAAAAATATCAACACAAGTCGATAAAGTATAAAAACCGAGGCTTTGTTGAGTTTTTTTTTACATTATCGTTACTATGTGTTGATAGTTTTTAATATCAAAAAGACGGGTAGGAGATTCTATTTATCACTCTACCCTTTCTTGCGCGCATAAAAACGTAGATATAATTCTTTGGTATAGATTTAATTTTACTGAACCTGGGGCCGTATTTATAAAAATTCTTAGAGTTTTCATAACTTTTACTCTAAGACATCCTAAAACAACATTTAGTTAAAAGTTACTCTTTAGAAATATTTATAAAGGGTCTTAGAGTTACTTTTAACTAAATGTAAGACTTGGGTCCTAACCAAACTCTTAGCGATGTAACCATGGGAAATCCGGGGATTCCCTGAAGTTATTTATAGCTCAGTGTTGATGTCATGCAATCACTCTACTCACTGTAGGTTGACTGACGCCGAAATCGTCACCACTACACAGTTGCATTTTACCAGCAGCGAGGAAACGAAGCGTACTGGCGATCTTCATCTCAGCGTCGATTGAGAAATTTCGTTTAGTAGGACTCATAAAAAGATGCCAAACTAAATCTGTCACAAAAAGAATCCCACCCATGTCCATTCGATATCTCCTTATCAACTCGTCATTGTTGTACTCCACTAAGAAATCTCTTCTTGTTTTAAACTCTCTTAGGCGGCGTACACGGACGGCCATGTTAACCAAGATAAGAGTACTTTTAACAAGTTAGGAGTGCTACAGGAGGACTCCTAAATATGTGTCATAGTTAGGAGTAATTCTTAAAGTAAAATGTTTTATAAATAGGTCTTAGGAAAATCTACAAAGTTAGGAGTAATTTTTGACAGTTAAGAGTTGGTTCCAACTCTTAGCATTTTTATAAATACCGCCCCTGATTACATAACGGCGTAGTGATACATGTATATCATTTTTGACAGCACGTCACCTGATGCAAAGTCCTATATATTTACCCAGTGTTTCTTTTAAGGTTATGGGGAGAATTATAATTGTTTATAGTAATTGAGAACTTTTCTCCGACAATATTACTGGATCGAAAAAGTAGTTCCTTTTTAAATTAAAAAGTGTTCCTTTTTATTAACAAAAAGTTGTTCCTGTTTAATTAGCCAATCAAATTTAGTAGATTATGAAAGTTATCACACAAGCGATATCTACTGTAGAATGTGTTATTGTGTGATAAAATGCAGTTGCACGTGTTCACCACATGGCAGCACATCCAAGTATTCAACAAATTTGGTGTACTGTCACAGATTTTGTCATCGTTATATATTGTAATATAATTCCGGGTAAGGTGGGTTACTAAATACATATATATTACAGAAGACGATTCACGTAATGTTTAGTTCAGTTGTTCTTAAGAAAGTTTATTTCACACCTTTATAAGTTCCATAAGACAAAACTGAAGCAAGGCTTTATCCAGATAAATGCCGGTAAAGGTTCCATTATCTTTTATCATCTTCAAATGTTCATCCAATAGTGTACATTTTATTTTCTCAAAAATCCCCATCACTGCTCAATATGTTTGCTCGAACCAGTTCAGTGGCCGTAAAGATCCATTAGTGTACATTTTATTTCCTCAAAAATCTCCACATAGGTGTTGTTGGCATCTGGTCCATTCCGCCTAAGAGTTTTAATTCTTTGCAATTGCTGAATATGTGCATTTTCAGTTCTATTATCCTTACTGGACATCCATCATGAATTCTCATAACTTGTATTTATTGTAACTAGCCACAACTTTTGGATTGATATTAGTTAATATAAAGCTTTATCTGTACAACATAAAACCATGCAATTAGAAAAGTACAAAGTTGAAACAAATATATTAGATAGTACCAAAAGAAAACTGTTAGCTACTTGACCCTGTTATAGGACACCACCTCTAGTGACTGACATTTTGTCGTACAAACATGACCGGTCTAATGAGGACGGCATACGTCATCTAGTGTACTACTAATAAAAATTGTCCCCAGACATTAGCACCGCTGAGGGCTACTCTTGTTTAGAATTCCAACAGTCAAGGGTTATTCTACGCTCACCAGCGTGTATATTGTGTTTATATTTACAGCTTTAGATGTATGTAGAGATAACTCCAATGGTTGTCAATCATGTGTTAATACAAGTTATCCGGTACCATTACCATACAGAGAGACATGTATGAAATCATGTAGTGTTTGTGCAGGTAATAATTATATGTATTAATAAGGGAACTGGGCTGGGGATTAGAAGAGTTCGGAATAAGCTGAGAAAATTTAGTTATATTCAAGTCCCAAGTACCACACAACTAATAGCACATAGTATCAGTCTAGAAAATCAGAGGGGCCAGAAAACTGCTGGTCTGGTTTACACATCAGCACTATTTGGGTTATGAGAATATGACAATTATACAGTATTGGTACCACTGTAACAATACAATACAATACCATTATCTATTGAAACTATTAAGTACCTATATATTAATCCCTCACTTAATGATTTGGAATATGTTATGTTAAATGCCAGTCATTCATTTCAGAGATAAATGTAGCCCTTGGTGAATCAACTGACCAGAGTTCGACAGGACATCCTTTTGGTCCTCCATCTAAAGCTGTAGATGGTAATACTAATGGCAATTTTAATACAGGCCAGTCATGTACTCATACAAATAAGGGTACTCCTGGTTGGTGGTGTGTTGCTCTAGACCAGATATATAATATCAGTCGTATATTACTTTTTAACCGAGATAGTGGTAAGTATACAGCATCATAAATCCCGTTAAAACCTAACATATTGTAGATTATGGAAATATAGTCCACCTAATGTGTTTTGATGGATTATATATCTTCAATGTATGTGTAGGTTCCGAATTCAGGTGATGCCACACTGGCTCCCTTCGAGAAATTTAGACAATTAAGATGGCCGCCGTGAGGCATTGCCCTCGGTTTGAGGGTCGTTTCTAATAAGAACTCTACCAGCTAAATCCAATGAGCTTGCGTATTCCTCCCAAAACAAAAATGACGGCTAATAAGACTGATTGACTTAAGAAATAATTAATAATGGTTGTAGATTAATTGTCTCTAGTTACACATTATTTTTGTTTACATTAAATACGAATAAGTTTAGATATATATATTACCACTTCTATCTTTATATAAGGAGGGGGGGGGGCTGTTGGTTTTGACAGAACTGGTTATTTGGCGGAACTCAGAAATTAACCGAGATACTCATTAAATCGCCTGTTGTCTATCCATCCTAAGGGCGAATATCATGCACGGACAAAATCTTACCATTTGGGCAAACAAACCTATAATTTATTTTAATTCTTTATATTTTAAAATACTATAACACGGTCTTTGAATAAACAAACCCATAATTTATTTAATCCCAGTTCTTTATATTTTACCATACTGTATGAAACTGTACTGTAATACTTCAGTCATTAAGCAAACCCATAATCCAGGTTCTTTATTATATTTTACAATACTGTATGTAACTGTACTGTAACACTATCAGTTTATTCGAGACAGCCACTGGCACGGTGCAAGGTTAGATCAGGCGTTCAACGCCAAATGCAGAGTTCCCGCCTCGAAACCGACCCCCTTCGTCTTCAAGCCGAACTTCATCTCAGTTTGACTAAGCTGCATGAAATCAGGATTTTTATACACTTCGCCAAGTTCTCTACATTCTAACATCAATGAGACTGGCTAACGTTTTTTTTTATCAAGTATTATTGTCTAATTAACAGAACGTCTTGACCCACATTTATTTATGACTTACAATTAAATTCCATTTTATTTCATGCATTTTATTTATATCTATAGCATCAGAGAGATTGAGTGGATTTGTGATAAAGCTACTATCTGATGATCGGTGTAATGGACAAGGATTTACATCAGCTACATCATGTTATATAAATACACCACCAACAGTACAAGATGAATATACTATAGATAGATCTAATCAACAACCATCTACATCTTTATCTGCTAGAACAGTGTTTATCAGTGTTACTGATACACTTACATTGTGTGAGGTTAAAATAAACACAGGCATATTTTTTACATTAAGAAATATCTTTGTATGTTACAGATCAAGAAAGATTACAAGGATTTGAGATAAAGCTACGACCTGATGATCAGTGTAATAAACAAGGATTTATATCAGCTACATCATGTTATGAAGACACAACAGCAACAGTACAAGGTCTATATACCATAAACGGTTGTAACCAACCTTCATCTGCATCTTTATCAACCAGAACATATTTTATCAATGTTACTGATGTACTTACATTGTGTGAGGTCGAAATATACGCAGGCAAGTTTTATTGCTTTATCAGCTAGAACAGGGTTTATCAAAGTTGCTGATGTACTTACATTGTTTAATATACACAGGAAATTGTAGTCTATTACCAGCTTATTTTTGCTAAAGTTAATCACAGGAAAGTAATATGACAGATGCATCAATAGCAGGGGTGTTATGGTCAATGATATCATATCTTGATAATGACTAGAGACGCCTCGGCAAAATGATACTCAGTAATAAGCACTTATAGTATTAGACAGAATTGTGACCAGTTTATTTCCAGATCAATGTATTTCAAGTACAGGTTCTAATTATAAATATCATCTACATTTCAGTAAAATGTAATACAGGATACTATAGCACATCACATTCTACATGTGAACCATGTAATACATGTCTTGGTGATGTATGTCATCATACTACCGGCGTTTGTACTGGAGATTGTAAAACGGGTTTTTATGGTACGAAATGTCAACAGATATGTGGTGTTGGTTGTTTAAACAACCAGTGTAATAAACTAAATGGGAGTTGTACATGTAAAGACACATACTATGGTGAACAATGCACGTCAATATGTAGTAGAAAATGTAAGAATAGTAGATGTTCTATTTTATCTGCATCACCACACTGTACAGAAGGTTGTATTGATGGTTATAAAGGTCCTTACTGTCAATCACCATGTCCTGGTAACTGTGCAAGATGTAATGAATCGTCGTGTTCCATCTGTAAATCTGATTGGTATGGTACAAACTGCGGTTCACCATGTTCCATTAATTGTAATGGAGGATGTGATATTGTTGATGGCAGATGTAATAGATGTAAATCTCACGCTGTTGGGTTGTTCTGTAATATAGAATGTGGAACTGAATGCCAATTAGCTACAGGTGGATTAACAGAATGTGAACAAGACGAAGCTTGTACCAAAAACTGTAGTGAATCAACTGTAGATGAGTCATCGAACATGGTGAAGTTAAGTTGCTTATATCGATGTATTGGGGGTAAGAAAGAAGCAGTTTGTTCAAAGGGTAAGTAAACGATAACTAAATTCTCAGTATGAAAAGAACTTAAAGATACATTCTTTAAATCTGCCTATTGCATTTCTTTATTTTGGCTTCAAATGTAATATAACTATTATTTAAACATTTATTAACATGACAAAATCTACAATTAACTTTCTATTAGAACACACTCGAGATAAACAATAAATGGGTAATCGAGACCAAATTCTTTTTATCGCGTCAGTTGAAGTTTTACGTCGGTTTATGCCTGTCTTGGTTTGAATTTCCTTCAGAATATGAGGCGCCAATTGATGGTACCGACAACACAGTTATAATATCTGTTGTGATGGTAATATTGGTTTTAGTCATAGCTGCTATTTCTACTTTTTTGGTATTCAGATACAGAAGGTAAGAAACGTTTTGTTGGCTTCTGAATCAGAACAAATTTAATTAGAATTTTCTAGTCTTGGACGTTCGAGATACATATTGAATTGTAATATGTTTAGGAACGTTTTGGGTTTTAATCCGTTTGATAAATAACAGATTTGTACACATTTAAGTTTATATATTCGTGCAGTTGTTTCGCATAAAAAATGGAATGGAAAGTGGGTTAATGTTTCGTAAACATAATGCTTCTGAGATTGTGAGACAAACATAATATGGTAATTGTTTATTTGTATGTTTACATGCGGAATGCCAGGTAGGAAACTTTAGCCTGGATAGCGGCGTTTCTGTTTTAGATCCCGAACGATCACTGGTTCATTATCTTCACACCAATGTGCATATGGATGGACTTTGGTTTTTCTTCGCTACCCCCTCCCATGACAAGCGAAGACCCGTTTAAGAATTTCTGAAGGTTCCTCTCAGCCCCCATCATGATTGGAACCAGGCATATACTTGTCCAGTACTCTAATCACTCGACTACCACGACCCCTAATCTGATGGGAAACGACACTCTATTACAAATTTCTGTTTTTTATTTATTTAGCAGGAGACGCAATGCTAATGCTCAACAAAACTCCAAAGTTTCTTATGTTACACCAACGAATATTGATGATATACCAGCCTCTGCTGACACAACACAGATTTCCATAGGTTTTAGATTATATATTTAAATTTTTGTTTTCAATAATTACAAAATGTGAACATTATTTCGGCCAGAAACTCTTTCCAATAAGATTTCCGGTATCGCTTTGGTTAGGCTTAAGAATCTGTCCACCAGCATGATAGACGTGATCATCCAGGTTAAAGATCCAGTAATGCTTAGTTCTAGACAAAATTGGCGGAGAGGTTTTGTAATCACTCTTATTAAATTACAAACCAATAGTACTAAAGAAATAAAATAATGCTAGGCCTTGTCGTGATCAGTAAATGTCAGATCTAGGTTTACGATAATACTTCTCGGAAGTAATCACAACAATCGTACTAAAAGTTAATTGATGAAATGAAATGAGGTTTAATGTCTTACTGCTCTGCATGAACCGGATGCAGTGTGCTATGAGTGATAATTTGTCGTGACAGTGGCACTATGGTCTCTTATTTCGAATTCAAACTATAACCTATAAATGGCACCTCGGTTTTTTGCCAAGCCCTCCGTCCTATATGCCATTGAGAAACGGAAGCCACGCTGTAGAATCTCGACTAACATATGGTACATTTTTTTTACCTCGACAATTCGCATGCGCGTTTGGGCCTTTGTCCTTGGCAACTGAAGGTTACGGAGAAAACCCACGAAGTTGGACAGGCGCACTCACTCATTGTCACATGCGGGATTGAAACAACGGAACATGAATCAATGACAGACCCAATGAACACATTAGACCATTCGACTCCACCCCCCCCCCCTCCACACACAAACTCACTCACTCTCTACCACCTGGAACAGGGCTTTAAAGAAAACTGTAATAAATAAATTGATTTTATTTATAAATAGTATAATATATACATAGCTGTCATTCCTATTCTAGCAAAGACACCAACAATTGAAAATTCAGTTTATGTCAACGTATCAGGTGATGACGTATACGAGATAGGAGAAGAATCATCAAGAATTTCTTTGAAAAACTTACTGAAATATATTAAAGATAAGAAGATAAAATCTGCGTATGAAAAGGAATATAAGGTTTTCATTTTTACTTCCAGCCTGTGTAATACATATTAATCTCTACATGTCTGTGTTAAAATGACACGTGTTGGTCTTTCAAGATGCATTGTCGCGATCTATAATGTCTTTACTTAGATTCACTTCTAGTTTAAGTTTATATTCAAGGAAAATGTTGTGTTTTTTTTAAATACATTAGTACAATAAGTTTTTATATAGAGCATTTGTTAGTTATGTGAACATTCCATAAATTGGAACATCCAAATTCGAAGTAAAAAAAAAGCTAATAATGTAAACGTGATAATTGGTAGAATGGTACTTTATACTTTGTCAAATTACATGTGGTTTCCTATAAAGAAGGGATTACGTTAATTTTCCGAAAGAAAATTTCTGTTAAATTTCCTAAAGAAGAATTTTATGTCAAACGTTCCTAAAGTAGAATTTATGTTAACTTTTCCTAAAGAAGGGATATCTTAAATTATTTATTACGTTGAAAGATAATGTTTATATATTGTAGGAATTACCAAGTGGTTTGTGTTCTTCGTATGATTATTGTATGAATGCTGTAAATAAACCTAAAAACAGATATAAAAATATTTGTGCTTGTAAGTAAATTAATTCGTCAGTACAACGGGTTTTACAAATTATCTCATTTTTGCACCGTCGTTCGTAATTTTTCGGATAGATATTGCCCCTGTAATCGACACCTTCGCATGTACATGAAAATGCGCAAGATTGTTAATCCTCTCGCTGTTGCCTCTTGTTTTCTGGCGAGTCTAGTTCCGTGCTATATTTACAACGTTTTAGGTCTGCGCTCCATATCAGATTGGCAGCAATAATCTGTAACCGTTCTTTCAAATATTTCTCTATCGTGTGAATTTACCGACATTGTCTGCGATATCACCTCGGTGGAAGCGGACGTAAAATACAACTAACTAACAACATTTAGCGACATGGCAAACTAGGATTCTAACATAAAACCTGAATAGTTATTATCATTGAGGTTAATTTTACCAAATAGACGACAAACGTATCCTCCCAAATCGTTAGGAATATACCAGTATTAAGTAATAGCTTTAAAATAAATGTTTTGTTAATTCCTAATTATGATTTAAATACGACCGTAGGGGTGGTGTTTATACGAATGGTTTAGAAATGTGGACGACTCTTCGGTTTCTAAATGACATTGGTCCTATTAAACCTCGTTGGCAAATTTAATTTCAGTTGATCATTCAAGAGTTAAACTAGACATAATGAATGGTGATCCTAATTCCGATTACATTAATGCTTGCTATATTACGGTAAGTTTAAGAAATTGAAATGAAATTGGGTAACTTTGTGTTGATAGCAATAGATTATGATATATGAATATAAGATAATAGTACACGCGTAAAAAAATATAAAAATGACGCACAGAATACCTTAATTTAAGACTGTGTGCAAGGCCCTTTCGTAGACATCTTTAGTTGTCTTACTACATTAATTTTGATAACCACCACCATCTCCCTATAGCGGATAGGGAATACTGTTAAATTAATGTTAAATTAATTATATTTAGAAGAATCGGTATTATCTATAATATGATTTACTTTCAATTTAAGACCATTAAGATTAAACCAATTATTTTTTCAGGGCTATGGTGATCATAAAAATAAATATGTTGCTTCTCAGGGTAAGTATGTGCTATATTTATATTGTTTTAGATAATACGTCAGTGTTGTAGCGAAGATTGGGGAAAGGGATCAACGACTGAAAATATATAGTCCACAGGCAGTCACATAACAAACCAACCCGCATACAAACGCCGAAATCAGACTGTCGCAATCGTGTTTCTTGGCATTTCAATTTAGTTTTTTGTCTGTGAGGGAATGTCCAAATACTCCACTGAAAACAGTATTATGGACTGAAGATCAACAAATATATATCTGAACAGCAATACTATTAATTGATTTTTGTTGATTTTCAATGATTATTTATTAGCTATAGTATACTTGTATACAAGTCGTTTATGTGGCTGATTACTAATACAAAAAAATGTATTTCATTAATGCACGAGTATTTTCTTCAGCTTGGATAGCTATAACAGGATTTACTGAATTATCATGGCGGTTGTAGTCGTTGTTGTGCACTATGCATGGTATGCACACTCGAGTTACTGTCTTTTTTCATAAACACTATTCAGAAACTGAGGGGATTGGGGCATAGGCTATATAAACCTACATGTAGCTACGAGAACGTAGCTAAAAAAGTTGAGATGTACTGATGTGCTTGTTTTTAGCTACGATTGGTTGCCTTTAGTTTCATTATTAATGCATGTAACATCTTGAAAATAAGTTAATTTTATACTATTAGAAATTACTACACATACACACCCCACTCTAGTGAAACACCTTTGGTTTATCTGCAAATATTGTCATTAAAATAAATCAAGTGTTGTTTTTATCAAAATTGATACGGACATCCATAATTACAGTGTATTATTCCTGCGCAACTCGTATCAGGTTAATACTTTGATTGGCTGTTGTACACAACGCCCTGCCTTCATGACGTGAAAGATGTCAAATTTAAAATGCCGGAGAATCAGGCTATTATCGCTTCGATTTAAAAAGACATGATTTGTACCTATATCAGAAAGGATTATATGCTGAATTGTAGTTGAACGTGACAGAAATGTTATGAATAACAATAATCAATCGTTGTTTTGATGAAAAATGTTGCCAATTCTCCTTACTGAGTCCCGATGTGATCCCCGTCGGGTTTTGCCAGATGGAACTATATAGCACCATCTCTTATCCCGAAACACGGAGGGTTGAGAGATGAGGTTTCTTATCTAATATAAACCTGTCTCCTCGTTTTTGAACATTTCTACCATTTTTGTTGTATCCAAAGTATTTAAATTATAATAAAATTCTGCCGGACTTCTGGTATGTTTATTCCATACGGATTATTATGATTTTCATTCCCTATTGCAATATATTATCCCTTTTTGTGCGCAGCGCAGCTATGTATAGTTTAATACAAATTTTCTAATATAAAAATCATTATCTTTTAAATTAAAGTAGGAAACGAACAATCGATGCCCAATTGTCCAAGGAATGAGCGTGTCAAGTGTCATGTCGATCCCTCCTGAATTGGTGGTGCGATAGGCGTTTTGTCGCCTCTTAGAGGAAAAAGAAAATAATGTTTAGCATTTGAGGACACCTAGTTCCTGGCACAAAACATAACTATGAACGCCGGACTGTTTCATATTTGAAATACAATAATTAATGATTTTTGTCATGTTTGCAGGCCCAGTTGTTGATATTGTTAATGAATTCTGGCGAATGATATGGATTGTAGAAACAGGAAAGATAATTATGTTGACTAACCTTGTAGAAATAGGAGTGGTAAGCCAAATGAACGGATTAAGTATATTAAAATCTCTAATCTTCATCTCTTTAAGAGATTATCAGTCAAAAAATAGACCCATTCCGTTCAGTATATACCAGTTTAAGATAAACTAAAAATTTGTCAACATCCAGCATCCCCTACTGTTGATATAAACGGAATTTTATCAAAGCAAGCCAATTAGCATAGATGCCGTGAAACATTTGATTTTGCCAGAGAAATGCCATGCCGAAGGTTATTTCTTGTATGGTTACCTGGCTGCTTTGCCATAGCACGTCTTTTTGGCATATTATTGGGTCTAAAATGTTCTATTCTATGGACGACAGGTAGTGTAATTAATCAGATATATTTAGCCTGGTGTTCTATAGTCACGGGTCTTGTTACCACATATCACTGGATTCAACCACTTGTACAATGTGGGTGGATTGAGATCAAAGGTAGATAACTGACGTCTCATAAAAAGAATGTTATAATAAGTATTTTCGTATATGTTTTCAGCACAAATGTTTTAGATATTGGCCAACGCTTGGCAAAGAGAAAACATTTGGGGAAATATCAGTCAGAATGACGAAAGAAGATACATATGCTAACTTTACCGTTCGAACACTTCAAGTTAACAAAGTGAGTGTTTTATTACGGCTTTATATTTAAATTTTACTTCAGAGAGGATTATCCAGACCAAACTTAAACAAACCCAGGGTCATATTCTCGAATGGTGGGGGGTTGGTTGTTGAGCAACTGACTATATGAAATATTCTAAAAGTCAACACTACATTAAAGATGCTAGGAATTATTTTTCAGGACAATTAAACAAATATATCATTCACGAACTAAATTTTATAGAAAAAAGATGATACAATATTAGATAGAATATATTTTACAGAGTGAAATGGGGATTGTTGGGTGCGGGTGGGGTGGGTTGTTCAAACTGGAAATACACTAGATTGTACATGTATTTAAATACATTCTTCAGGGCGACAGTAGATCTAGAACCATTAAACAGTACCATTATACATCTTGGCCTGATAAAGGTGTTCCTACTGATACAGCATCATTGGTAGAATTCAGAAACAAAGTTCTAACATCAAACACTGCCCATTTAGGACCAATGGTTATACATTGCAGGTAAAAACTTCAACCATTTACTTTATATTATATAAGCAGAAGAAAGAGACACACAACTGTAATCAACATGAATAGATTTTCTTTGTGCATTACAACTGTCGACCATGATTTTTCGGCGTGGTTTTCCTTTTGTCAGTGGTGCCGAATGGAGGGTCTGACGGGAACAGCTGTCTGGTCGTTCAGGTGGGACGAAAAACAGAGGACCCGTGTGTAGATTGGCGTGCACGTAAAAGATCTCTTAGCAGTTAGAATTCGATATAAGAGTAGGCCATAGAGCGGCTGTCCGGGCAAAATTTCCCTCATAGCACACTGTATGGCGTATGCCCCTCTTCATTAGCCCAGTATAGGAGCAGAACAGTAGGACGTTAAACCTCATTTCATTTCAATTCTTTGAAAGACTCTGAAATATCCTTCAACACCTCGATTTTTAGGATTATTATATCAGATGAATTGCGTGATGTTTGCGATCCCGATGCTTTGTCGACTAGGCCTGAAGTAGGCCCACCGTCATCAACAACTCTTGTTAACTCTATCTGTACAATATACGACTATACAGAATATATCCCACATCCATCGGTACTACCGGTATTGTAAAATACATTATTTACAAGTCATCTTCATGAAGTTCTGTTGTAACTGGCATTAAAACACCCCAAAGTTTAGTGTTCTTTGTTTTCAATACCGGTATGTTTCATTTTCTGACCAAGAAAGGTCTTCACATAGGACATTTAAATGTTAATGTTCTTCATTTTATAAACAAAGTAGTGGAACTCAAATTACTTTTTGAAGATTTTGATATATTTTTGGTTTTAATGAAACACATTTATCCAACTCTGTAAATGATGGTTCAATTATTTGTCCTGGCTTTCATTCGCCATTTAGAAGAGATAATAGTACATTTAGCTTTCCTGGCACTCTGTTATATCTATTAATTGTAAAAGAAGAACTGATTTGGAGCACTGATACTCTTGAAGTCATTTGGATTGATATTAACATAAAAAAATACATCATCTATTTTAAGGTTGTTTATACAGAAACCCAGCATCTAATGCTAAATGGCATGATAAATTTAGATGATGGATTCTGCATGGAATCAAGGAGGTGAATTTATCATTTTTCTGTGACGTAAAGAAAGGTTTAATTAATATTCACGTTGTGTTTTAGTGCTGGTATTGGAAGAACAGGGACTTTTATAGCCATAGATTTTCTAATAGAGGAGGCTAAAGCAACAGGTTCAGTAGATATGTATGAATGTGTTAAACAGCTGCGATATGAACGGGTTAGCATGGTTCAAACTTTGGTAATTATTAAACTTTCAACTTATTACAAATATTCACACAGAAATTTGAAATTGTAATGACCAGTTTATAGAACAATACATAAAAGATGCTTTATCTAAGAACTTAATCTGCCTATCGTGGCTCTTTATTCTAGCTTGAAATATATAAATATTATCCACATTACAAGTCAATAATTGACTCTCTAGACTGTTGGATGGCTGAGGTATTAATGTATCAGAAATCCGCGCCATATAATCGTTAAAATGAACAATCGAGGCGACGTTTATTATCGCAGCACTCTTTCTTGGCAATCGAGACGATTTAGGTCAAATGTTGTCAAAACTTTAAACATTCAGAATAAAATAAAGTAATGTTCGCGATTTTGAATGGGTGGAAACACGATCGCAATTTAATAATTTAATTTAAAAATGGATAATCCAAATTTATTATCGTAACAACGGTAGCAATGAAAATCAGGACCTACGCTATTCTTCAAACATTCACAAGGTCCGATCCCTATAAAGTAATTTGGTTGAAATTTTCAATATATGCATATTCTATTTATAAACTATCATGGCATGAACGACAAGCTCTTTGTCTAAATCTTACATAATGCAAGGGATAGCGGCCCAGGTCCTACTTTAAATTTGAATTTATTAATTTTCATGCATCATAGGTTTATGTAGATTTCTAAATTTTTATGGTAAAATACTAGTAATCTACATTCCATTACAACATCTTCCATTACTATACATGTCAAATTTGAAAGAGAGAGTTGGGTATATTGGACTGGATCTCTATTGATAGCTGAAATTAACATTATAATATATTTTATAGGAACAATATGCATTTCTCCACGATGCTATAGCTGAATGGTATATAGCTGGCAATATGTCTTTCCCGGTGACTGCATATCAAGTCGAGTACAAAAAACTACTAAAAGTCAATGGTTCAACTGGCAAATCAGAACTCCAGGAACAGTTTGAGGTAAGTAGGACTTATGTAATGGAAGTTCCAGGAGAGTATAACGTGTTCAGCTACATGTATTAGTGGATTTAAAGAACTTCTTGATTTTTGCTGGGGTTTTTCGATATAAATAGTCATATTGCTTCCCGTTCGATTTTGATTCTGGAAATCAGTACAAACGATTAATAAACTCAATGCATAAAAGAACAGAATCATTGTGTAGAGGCGGGAGTCTGAACTACTTTTAAAAGAAAACAGACATGTACCTGTATCAGGACTTGTGGTAATAGAGGTTTAGAAAATATGAGCCCTTTGTAGGAAAAATACTGTATTGACAAAATACCTAATACTTATTTCAAAGAAAGTATCTTTCTCTATTTATAATCTCTATTTTATAATTTTAGATGCTTGAAGATATTTGTCCTTCCTTAAATACAGAAGATTTTTCAGTTGCTTTGTTGGAAGAAAACAGAACAAAGAATAGAGACATGACAGTCCTAGCATGTAAGTATTGTACAAGAAAATAAACAGAAATTAAATGAAATGGGGTTTAACGTCCTACTGTTCTGCTAATGACGACGGGCATACGCCATACAGTGTGCTATGGGGTAAATTTTGCCTCGACAGCGGCCCTACTGTCGAGGGATCTTTTACGTGCACGCCAATGTGTACACGGGACTTCGGTTTTTCGTATCATCCGAATGACTAGACAGCTGTCCTTGCCAGGCCCTCCGTCCTGCATCACTGACAACAAGGGGGACCACGCCAGAAAATCTGGATGAACTTTCACAGCCAATGCAGGGATCTAACACCCGACCTCCAGGCTAGCGAGCCAGCGTCTTACCCACTTAGGCACCGTGACTCCCGAAAATAAACAGATGTGTAGTGATGCGAATGTTATGAATCAAGATTGCAAAGACCTACAAACAGCGCGTGTCGTCAGATCGAATTCCTCCCCTTGGCCCTTATTCACGAAAACTTAAACTAAGATACAATCGAAATTTTAAGAAATACTGCAATTCGATTGGCTGACCAATATGCAAATTGGATATATGCAAATTGATTTTAATGGTCAGCCAATCGAATTGCAGTATTCTTAAAATTTCGATTGTTTCTTAGTTTAAGTTTTCGTGAATAAGGGCCCCGGCATTATTAATTTTCTCTTGCATTGTTTATTGACAATAAATTACCTTAAAACACTACATTACTCTTGTCCGTGTTGAGCCATGTGGGGGCTAACGCTTATTAACAATAAATTACCTTAAAACCCTACTCTTCTCTTGTCCGCGTTAAGCCCTGTGGGGCTAAAAAACATTGGATAAACGGAAAAGCGGGACTGTCAATACAGAGTAGTACACGAAGGCAGTTTGGTTTCAGTTGCTGATCTGTCGACCCTTTCATGTATCATGGGTCCACATCATTCCAATAACGTTGTTTAGTCAACTGTTTGATTGAGCACCGTGGAATTGAATATATATCCATCACTCGAAAGGTGTCAATCGAGTTAACCCGGGAATTTTAGCAGTCAAGGTATTCGCGTTAGTTTGGTGGTACCACGTTTTTACTCTCCTCATAATTTGTTATCAGGTGTAGCAGAACTGTCACAGGACTCAATTGCAAGTCCACCAATTTCCATTTCAATTTATTAATAAAGATACAACAACCATTAATAAAGGGGCAACAACCATTAATAAAGATACAACAACCATTAATAAAGGCTCAACAACCATTTATAATGGAATACGACAACCATTCATAAAGATACAACAATCGCTAAATACTAGTCTAGGATTGCAATTTGTAAAATGGAAGCATTGCCATTGAACATTCATACAATATATTACTCTGTTTATTCCAGCTGATACAACAAGAATATGTTTATTTAAGAGAGAAACCGACTCATCTGACTATATTAATGCTGTATTTCTACCGGTAAGATAAATAACAATGGCTATTAGTACTCGTAAAATTGACGATTTATCTTATCAGAAAATTACAAATTCAGATATTCAGCATTTGGAAATTATCGCTGGATTTCAGGTATCGCTGGATTTCAAACTAAACAATATAATTCGAATTAAACAGTTTCATTCACTAAAATGTATATGTGATCGTTCGTTTAATGTATACATGAATATATCAGAGAAATAGATGTTTTAATACAATAAATACCATTTTATCCTAGAGTTACAGATGGAAAAAAGCTTATATATTAACTCAAACACCATTACCAAATACCATCATAGATTTCTGGAGAATGGTTTTAGAACGAAATGTTACTATTATAATCAACATGGACTCTACTGAAAAATCAGCGGTAATTATTACCAATAATTAAATCTACATGTAGCTATTTGAAATATTAGTATGGTGGGTTTTGTTTGTTGTTTGAAGCACGTGTACAACACTGGGGTGATGATTTGCTGTATTATCAATAAAAGGTCTCGTTGGGGAGTAAATAAAAAGAATTCTGTCGATTTTCAAAATTTTCAGATCGCATATATATTACAGTCGCTGGTATTGTATTGTCTTACTAAATTGATTTCTTTCACCGAACCTCTGCACGATCTACTTTGTACAAATAGGAAAAAATTAACTGCCTGGTTGTTTTTATTATTTTTAGTTAAAGTAGCTAAGTCTCTAACTCAGTATCATCAAAAATCTTCGACATTGAAAACATGAATTATTATTTGTCAATTCAAATCAACATTGGTCTTGTGATCTTACAGGGCAAAGATGAGCTTCTGATATCCAATATTCAAGACAAAATAAACATTTTATACCATTGGTACACGAATCGTGTACCATAATGCGTTTCAGCGCCATTTGGAACAAGGGACTCAAAGAACAGGGCTAGACATATTCCACAAGTCATGTCAAATGATGACGCAATATTCTTCTCCAGAGAGCATGCGCAATAAATACCATCGGTGTAGACTGGAAAAACCAGACGCTAAAGATTGCCATTTGATTGAGACTTCTGGCGTAAATCAGTTTATATACATTCATATTACATTACTATATGCGTTGCGACCCATTTTTATCAATTTCTAGGTCCCAAATATTAGCGATTGGGCTCCTTTAAAACTAATAACATCCCTGTCTTGCAGGATATAGGTCATTTTCTCCCAACCAAAGGTGAACTAGTTTGTGGACCATTTATAATTACTATAGAAGATGAAATAACACAAGATGGCGATTATTATAACATTGTTACGTGTTTGATTAGAGACGGAAGTGACGTAAGTAATAAGATTTCATAATTATTAAGTTATTATAATACATGCTTCGATATAATTTAGGCAGTTTGGGGAAATTCTACAATAATCGTTTCGTAACCCGTATCTCATAGCAGATATATTTCGCAAACATTGAACTTTTGGGTTTACTTAAATTAACTTGTGCCATAGTTATGTCGCGGGGGGCTGAATGGTTAGCACGTGGTCGCTGCACCATAAAGTCTATTATTGAGTCAACTGGCGTGGTTTTGATTCTCAGGTTGTACGTGACAAGGAGTAGGGTCGCCTGCCCAACCTCGTGGGTTTTCTCCGGGTCCTCCGGTTTCCTCCCACTGCTAAAGACCCCTCTACGCGGAAGCGAATTATGGAAATAAAATTGAACCATATGTTAGTCCGGAAATGACCTGGATTGTGTCGAGTGGATGTTAAACCCAATTTCTCCCTCTCTCGGTTATGTCGCGGGTAAGGTACCGGTATCACAAAAGAATAGTATTCTTAATTTATGGTTTTACATACATTAATTCCTGTCATAGTAACGTTAGTGTCGCTGACAAGAATCACAAAAGAGGTCTTATTTTGACCCTTTTTGTTCTAGCATAGGCATTTTTCAAAAATTATTATTAATGAAGATTAAAATATTATTTTACCTGAAACAGTCTAAAATACAGAATCGTATGTATAGCAACCGTATCTTTTTGAGTGGGAATCGATTCAACGTAAACAACTGTTTATGATTGGTCGGCACAAAAGACAGTAATCATCTGGCCATACCAAAAAAAACCCCAAAAACAGGTTTATCGTTTAGAATATATGGTAAATATTTAGAACAGGAACTGGTTCTATTGTTGTTCGTTTTCTTTTGCGTGGGGGGGGGGGGGACACTCTTTGCAAAAAAAGTTTAAGGATCCGCCAATTCACGTATGATCGACATGAAACTTGACATGCTTGTTCGTTGGACAAATATGCATCGATTGCGATTTTTGATATGACACCAAAATTATCATCTCTAAAAACAAGTACAAGCGTCTTATGTTGATGGGTCAAAATATTTTGCTTCTAATTCAAGATATGGAAGACCATAAGACAAGGATAACATCTCATTGCTATTTCTTTTAGTGTCATTTTAATAATTGCTATCACAGGGTAACTCGGAGAAGAAAATAAAGGTTTATCGGTGCAACTTCTGGGACACAAAGAAGAAAATACCGAAATCTGCAAATCCTATCTTCGAAATCCTTGACGATATAAAATCATGGTCTAAGAACGATGAAGATGGTCCCCTCTTAGTTCATTGTCTGTAAGTAATAAATACGTATTTGCTAATAGAGAAATTGTGTAATGATCATGACATGGAGGAAAATTATTAACGTTTCAATGAAAAATGAAATGAAAAGAAATGGGGGGGGGGTGCCCGGACATCGGCGCTAAGGCCTACTCTTATATCGAATTCCAACTGCCAAGGGATCGTTAACGTGCACGCCAATGGGTACACGGAAACTCGGTTTTTCGTTCCCCCGTCCTGCACCACTGACAAGAGGAAACCTCGTCGGAAAATCCCGTAGGCCAACCAAGGGAGCGAGTCAGTGTCTTCCTTTCATAACACATTGTGTATTTGTTGAGAAGAAACATATATGGGATGATATGTTATTTTTTGTATAGCAATGGTGTAGAGAAATCGGGTGTATTCTGTGTTCTAGCTGCTTTATTAGAAAGATTAACCATAGAACAAGATGTCAGTATTTTACAGACTTTAGTTCAATTACGATTTTCTAGACCTCAGATTATGGCATCGTATGTAAGTATACATGTATAATAATTTATCTTGTTTAATTCCCAGTTAGACTTTCATAATAATTGACTCTTGTGTTTGTCTGGAAGACATTCAATTTTAAACATACACATACCTTAATAATGTGATCATTACGGAGCCTGTTATTAGTTATAAAATAATTTAACGAATTCCTAGTAAAATTGCAATCAACAAAATACTGGCAGCAAAACATTGTAAATCATCTGTTTAGTTAGGGGAAAATATTATTCATGCATAAAAAGACTTTAAATTTAATCAAATTGAAGTTAGCTTTTTGAACTACAAACCTTGGTAAAGCTCTTATAAATCTTGTATATACAAATGAAATACTAGTATACATCATCAATACTTTTATATTTTATAGGAGCAAGTTAAGTTTTGTTTTGATGCTGTTGGAGTTTACTTAGATGAATTTTCTTCTTATGCAAATTCTTGTTTATAATATTCATTTACATCCAAATATATTTTTATACACACACATTTTCATGCGATCGTATTTTGTCGAAGCCCCAGTCCGTCCGTCCCGTCCGCCACATTTGGCTGTGGACACTCTACAGGTCGGTCACAGTTTTTATCCGATTTTGACGAGACTTGAAATATAGGTTTATATCCCAAAGATCTTATTTCCTTTCTCTCGGCTCCTTTTTAGCTTGTGGACACTTCTAGACATCTCCGGAAGGTTCAATTAGAATTATGTACATAGACGTTTTGTTCATGTTATATTATTCAAAATGATGTTATCATAATTTGGTTACATAATCTTTTTGTATACATTTTCTGTACTATTGGAGAGAGGTAATATCTGCCTAGCCTGGTCCTCAGTCATTTTCTGAGTATAAACAATTGTTTATATAAAAAAGGAAAAAAAAAAGAAGTCACAATTTTTATTCGATTTTCATGAAACTTAAATGTATGTTTATAACGCATAGATCTCGGCCCCTGTCAATATTGACGCATATCGGACCGCAACTTTGTGGATTAAGGCCCCTGATTATACGAAAAATCGCGTTTTTAGTTTGTGGGCGCTCTATAGGTCACAATTTTTATTTCATTTTCAAAACCGTTCAAATATATAACCGTTACACCATGAGTTCCAATTTGGTGAAAATCGGACTGAAACTACCCGACAAAATGACCGCTCCCCTCTACGTAAATTGTGTTAAAGTATGCAATAGCAAGGTTCTGGACTCTCTAGAGGTCGCAATTTTTATCCGATTTTAATGAACTTAAAATGTATGTTTATATATCCCAAAGATCTATATTCCTTTCGATATATACTGCATATTACTTTTTGTATATTATTCTATAACTTGTTATTTGAAATCTTTATTTATACAAGACAAACTTTTATTTTCTTATATATGTAATTAGGTGAAATATTTTCATAGCTTGTTAAGCCAAGAAATACCTCAGATCTCGGTCCCTGTCAATATTTCAGCATTTCAGACCGTAACTTTCAGGATTAATGCCACTGATTGTACGAAAAATTCCGTTTTAGCTTATGGATGCTCTATAGGTCACAATTTTTATTGAAATTTCAAAATAGTGTAAAAGTATGTAATACCAAATCGTACAAATATAATGACGGCTGAGTTCGAATTTCTTGAAAATCGGACCGAAACTGCCCGACAAAATGACTGCTCCTCTGAACAAAAATAGTGTAAAAGTATGTAATACCAAATCGTACAAATATAATGACGGCTGAGTTCGAATTTCGTGAAAATCGGACCGAAACTGCCCAACAAAATGACCGCTCCCCTGTACGCAAATAGTGTAAAAGTATGTAATACCAACGTTGTAGACCTTCTATAGAGGTCACAATTTTTATCCGCTTTTGATGAAACTTTAAATGTATGTTTATATCCCAATGATCTATATTCCTGTCGATATTGGCTCATCTCGAACCGTAACATCCTGGATTATGGCCCCTGATCTCTTGCAAAATATAGGCGTATCTTGCATGATAACCGCTTTTTATATTTTATATGAATTATATAAACTATTTTTATATCCATGTATTTATACTTATTTCCACTCAACAAATACTGTATATTACTATTTGTATATTATTCTATAACTTGTTATTTGAAATCTTTATTTATACAAGACAAACTTTTATTTTCTTATATATGTAATTAGATGAAATATTAGCATAGCTTGTTAAGCCTAGCAATAAGGCACCTTTCAGACATTGCCAAGTACAAATTCAGCAGCATTCTTTCTGTGTGTTCATTGATATTAGTACTACATATCCGCCGCAACGTTCAACATGTCATGGATCAGAACATTAGTGTCTGACATTTTGTCAGGTACAACTTTTAATACTTCTTCTTTCCAGACTTATAAACTGTGATTTTCAAGACTGTTTAAATAATGGGTCTGCTGAATGTCGGGGAGGGGGGGGGGGGGTGTCTGCAATGAATATGCTTCACTCAAAATGAACATAATGGGTCTGCTGAATGTCGGGGAGGGGGGGGGGGGGTCTGCAATGAATATGCTTCACTCAAAATACTCAGAAGATATACAATCAAGGACTTTTAGATAGTATTCGATATGATTCTAACACTTTTGAGCCTCTGAAAAATACATAAACGTAGCTATGAATATTTTAAATACAAAATTTGGACATAGCCACGTTTTAGAAAAAATAAACTGTGCACTGAGTACAAGAAACACGTAATGCAACCGATCTTGGAGGTAGTCTTCTGCCGAATGACGTCTCTTGAAGGCGCATTCTGCACACAGAGAACTATCTACGCTATTTCAAGAATAGATCTCTGCCCTAAATGGCTACCATATCCAAGAATTAGGATACTGTTTTGAAATGTGGTTTTTGTCGTACCGACTTTAGTAATGATGACCGAGGCTATGCGGAACTTTCGATCGCTTATTTCTCGGTTCATAGTGAATCAATTTGACTGCAATTTTCAGCAAATTGCCTTTACATTATTTAGTTTTTAACTATTATAGTGAGAACTGCCAATTCGTTATCGAATCTCCCATAATGTATCTTTAAGAAAGTATTACTTATTATATGATTATTAGACACGGCTTTCCCTACAGGTGGTTACTAGAAGTTACCTTTTATTACCCAATGAGACATTAAAACATTCTTCTGTTCTATAACTTTCAATATACATTGATATTATGATATCTACATTGTTATTTTATTTAATTATTACATAATTACATAGCTACATGTATGATTATTATTTACATATTTAATATTTTCATATTTCACAATTATTTTCATATTTCACAATTATTTACATATTTAATATTTTTATATATTCATATTTCATAACCATTTTCAAATTTAATAATTATTAATTATATAATTATTAATTTCATGATTGAATAATAACTATATGCATAACCAACGTTTATTATTAACTTAAACATACATTATGCAAGAGCTAAATCTGTCTATTGTCGGTAGGCCCGAAATGTTATCTAAATTAATAATTAACTTATCCAGACCATAATCAACTCTCGATGCCATCGCTAGCCTGCGATGTTTATTGGATTTGGTTCTGATTTGCTGTTTGGCTTCCTCTCATGATTTAATCCTGAAATGGATAATCGAGACTATGGGTTTTTTTATCGTACCTACTTTACTAATGATGATCGAGGCTAGGCCCAAAACTAAGTCGCTAAATACTCGGTTCAGGGTGGATCAATTTGACTGAAAATTTTCAGCAAGTTCCCTTTACATTATCTAGTTTTTTACTATTATACTGAGAACTACCGGCTCTTTATTTAATCTTCCATGATGTATCTTTAAGCAATTTGTGAGTATTAGGTGCCAGTGAAAAGGACACGATTTGACATAAATAGGGACTTCAGTGCTCTTTATATAGTGATCTAGATGCCATTTTGACCTCGATCTTCCAAGACAGAAATGAATTATTGTTCAGTAAACGACTACCTTACTACTAACTTTAATTGGCCATAACTTCCGTCACGACTGGTCGATTTGCATTATTCTTTGGATCAATATGAATATGACTTTTGGTAATATATACTATGCTTTGCCCAAGATCAGAAAGTCTGTAGGCTATAATTGATTTATAGTCTGCATTATTGTACCTTTAAATTAAACTGGCGAAAATTTGAAAGTTGTCATGTACAGCACAGATGTTGAAATTTCCGAAATCTTTGTCATTAATGTTTTATTGAGAATAAACTCACAAAATAAAGGGTCAAAACATGTAATAAAGGGGAGAAAACTCTTGCAATCTTGATGCATGAGTTCAACGGCGTGAGAGCTCCGGGTTCATTCTTGTTTTAATATTCTCTACGGCGATCTTATATATTGTTAGGGTTAGTGTTAGTGCATCAGATTAATACAGGATAGGTGTAATAATATCAACTGGAGAATATAACTTGAAAGAATATAATCTTTAAGAGGCATTTAGTAACTGGGTAGAGCAATACACAAAAAACACAAAGCTTGATAACGTTGAGAGAATACTCTTCGAAACGTCGCCCAAATAAATAAGTAGCTGTTTTTCCATAAGTATGTGTTTTTTGTGTATTGAAAGAATATGTGTTGCTGCATCATTCAGATTGTGCTTCTCAGTGAGTCAAATGGCGTGGTTTCGATTCCCCGGTTGTACGTGACAAGGAGTAGGGTTGCCTGTCCAACCTCGTGAGTTTTCTCCGGGGCCTCCAGTTTCTTCTCATCGCTAAAGATAAAATTGAACCATTTTATGTTAGTCCCAAAATGACCTAGTTTGCGTCGACTGGACGTTAAAACCCCATCTCTCTCTCTCTCTCTCTCTCTTCTCTCTCTCTCTCTCTCTCTCTCTGAGATTATGCTCTAATGTTTTTTTTAAAAGGATAATAATCCTTAGTAGACAACGAGACGATCGCGTACTATACATAAATAATTGAAAGAATATACATTTCCTGCCAGTAATTTAATGTCCATTTAGAAATCACACAATTGTGTAGCTTTCAGTTATTTGCATTGGTAAACAATTAATTACGCGAGTCATCTTATCTCCAAATAACGTGGCAAGTGGAAATATCTTGACAACGAATTAAATTAAAGATAAAGATCTTAATCACACCACGTTAATTATTCTCGTTGTTTAAAGGTGTTTTCACTAAGAAGACGAAACTTGCATTTTTTTTCTGCATAAGGCCCGACTCGCTACAAATAAGTGCCCCGTTTCTATCCACCACATATGTCAACAAAGAAAAGTAACTGAACGAAACAAGTACGAGTTACTATGGACCAGGAACCGAACATGATGCCATCGCCTTCATCTTGTCCGAAGAACAAGCATTCCAGTTCTATGCCCATCGCCTTTGAACTGGCAAAGCCGTAAGCTTTCCTCGAAGAAAATCGCCCCAAGATGAACTACAATAAGAACAACAATAACACGATGAGTAGCGCATGGGACCAAGTTTGTAGTCCAATTATAACGATATAATAAAAAAAAACCTGCCAATTATGGATGTCACATGAGATTATATCCATTGCTAACATTTTGACGTTTTAAGCAAAAAGCAGTACTGATTTTTTTTAGGGGTTTACACTGACTCAAAGTAAACCAGTGATTGTATGTTTGGTACTTGGATGGGTAAGAGATAAACTGTGGTCTAAACCCTAGTTTTGTAATCAGTAGTTG